GATTATCGAAGCAGACTGTGTGCTGCTGAAGCTAGAGAGGTGAGCAGAGTAAGTCTGATTCCCTGTAAAAACTTCTCTGTTCACATCCAACCCTTAGCGCTCATATGACCTTATGCAGTTGCGAGCGCAGTAAAACCTCTACTTAAACAAAATAAGTAACACTAGTGTCATAACTTCTAAAAAGCATCTGACCATGCACGTAGGCAAAAAAAAATCAATACTGCTGCTTTAAACTTAAAGCAGGGGTTAAAAAGCAATTCAACTAGACTAGAGCATATATTTACGTTTGAGTTAAACTTAACATAACCGTTTGACTTTAACAAATGTAAAGAATAAGAGGTGCTGGGGCCCACGAAACAGACCAACTTGAGCAAGTTCAACACAAGTGGAGCTGACTGTATTTGGAACCAAATAGTTACCACAGTTAGGAAAAGGAACCCACACAGATCTGCAGTAGATCTAGCATCCAGTGCCTACTGTCCTTTCCGTTCAATGATATTTTATTCCTGTCACAAGTCTTGCCACCCTATTGAGAGACCACGTAACAATGTGGTGCTGGACCAAGGTCACATTAAGTCATAGATTGGAAAATTTGCATCAACACAAAAGTGCATCCACCTTTCCCACTCCCTCCCCTGCTCACATGGTACAATACATTATAAACTGTGTAATATCTACACAATCAATTTAGGCCTCCTGTGAGTCATGCAGGTGCAATTTGCCATGTTGGGTGCTGCTTTGCTTCATTTGCATTTTTTCTACTTTCTGGTCCATTTGTTTTAATTTGGTCAATGGTTGAACCACTGTTAAGCTACTTATTATAAGAGATTGGACTCAAGGATTTAATATTAGTCTGCTATAACTGAAATCCTCTTCAAACAGACACTGTTATAAGTTGGGCCACTGTATACATGTCAGAACAGGCAAAATAAAAAGACAAACATGATATATGGTCGCTTTTTTTAAGCACAAGGGGGCTATCCCGAAAATTGCTGTAATGAGAAAATCGAAGGTAAAGTTTTTGCCCCTCGTTCATTTTCTTTAAAAGACGAGTTTTCTCTATATCGAAACAAATATACACACCAGTGAAACCAAACTTCTCCTATACGTTGGGCAATGCCCACTTTTGGTGGAGGTCAAGATTTCTGGAAATCCCCGAAATATGGGTTAGCCCACTTGTCCTTAATAAGCAACCATATATTGACAAAATATTCACAAGAACAACTCAATGACAAAGAATAAAGCAATGACTTGTATTTACAGTGTCTGAAACATTAAAACATAAATTACATATTAAAAATCAGTTCATGGTGAAGAGTAGAAGAAGCCAGTCGCATCTTAAAAGAAAAAAAAGAAAATAAAACCCAAAAAAACTACAAGTAATAGGGAAAAAACAAGCTAAAATCCATATAAAAATCAAGGGAGTGCTTATTTGGGCCACATATGGCCTAAATAAGGTAAGGGAGGGGGGTTTAGCTTATTTAGGCCACAGGTGGCCTAAATAAGGTAAGGGAGGGGGGTTTAGCTTATTTAGGCCACACATGCTCAAACTACCAGGGGACACCCTTTTAAGGCAACTGAGTTCGTTCCACTTTCATAATGGTGCACCTTTCTCATTTAGTACAGTTTTGTCTCAGTGTACAACTTATATATATCATAATGAATATTGTAAGAACAAAGCACGATACGCAAAGTTTTGCTCAATCTCAATGGTTTGAATGAGGGCCAGATTTTTCCTTCATGGAGGGGCAAAATCTAGGCTACCATTTTGGCACACTTTGGTCAAGTAAAAAGGTCAAATCCTCCGAATGGACTTCCGGGTCAAATTTGGGGTATAAAAAGTGTGTACACAACGTGGCTGAGTCAAAGTTACACTATCTTTGCCTGGGTGGCACTCTCTCGTACTGTCTCGTAGTAGTACATCTCTCGTACTGTCTAGTAGTAGTAGCCTACATGTGTAGATGTAGTAGTAGTAGTAGTAGCAAAGATCGAGAAGAATCTTTGGTAGTAGATTCTATCTAGTAGGCAGTTTAGTGAACGTGCACGCGGCAGGGCGAATCGGCCTCGATGAGCCCCGTAGACCTTTGTGATCGGCCACGAAGCCTCGTGTTTTGATAGGTCTAAACAACTTAGTGTTAATCGCACTGCCACATCCGACAGGCCTTTATCTTTTTAAAAGGAAAAGAAATGGTCATCAAAATGGTTGAATTTGCGTGAAAATCGATTCGGTAGAACTGTAACTATTAAAATTTGCTTCTGAAAACAAGTTACAAGGCCATTTTTATAACTCGATGAGATAAAAACTACTGGCTGTATTATTCTGTATAAATTATGAAACTTCAGGACGTATTATTATTTTCCAACATCTTTTGCCGCCTTAGCTGTAGAGGTTGAAGTTTTCACAACACTAATAGATCTAGTAATAGGGCTTTCCGTAAAAAATGCATAGATCTACAAAAGCCGAACCACCGAATCGACCGGTCAGCGACCCGGGCAACCCGCTCTCCCCTGCACACTGTGATAACATGTTGCTTCGGTATAATTATTCAACTATTAATATGTGCTGCTATGGCAATTGGGATGTACTGACTGACAAAGCGATTCAGTTTTGTTTTTATTTTACCATATATTTGACTTTAATAGTGCAGGTGATAGCTAGATCTAGATTCCCTGTCTAGAATCAGTAGTAGCAGACAAATGCTAGAAGCAGCCAGAGAGCCTACAACTGCTAGATCTAGATCTAACTCATTGCTATGCCTTTGGGCTTTGGAATTGAAATAAAACGAATTGCACAGTTCTAGTTAATTTTAGATTCAGCAACTATCTGTATTTCCAGAATTAATAATAACAAATCTCACCATAACAATCACTTTTACTTTTATTAGAATAATTAGATCAACTTTTTTTTCTAAAATCTGTTTTGCGCAAACTTAAGACTTTCTCTACGTGTAGAGCACAGAATTTACATTGTAAGCCTCTGCTCAGTCTTTTATTTTTAAGTATATACTTTTAAATAAAATACGTATAGATATAGATCTATATAATCATTTTATGTTATTTTCTGGATATTGTTAAAAACGGGGTCTACCTAGCAAAATACTAGGTTTTAGGACAGGTGGACCCCGGGGTCACCGTAGTGAAATACATGTAAGTAGATTTATTTAAAGATTAGTAGACCCCGGGGTCACCGTAGTGAAATAAGTAGGTTTAATTTTAAAAGGATTGGTGGACCCCGGAGTCACCATAGCCGTAGAGGAATAAGAAGGTTTAATTAAGAATTGGTGGACCCCGGGACACCGTGATTAAACCTACTTATTTTACTACGGTGACCGCATGGTCCACCTATTCTAAAACCTAACTAGTATTAAATTTCGTTAGGTAGACCCTGGGGTCCACCTTAAACCTAAACCTTCCTATTTCACTACGTTGACTCCTGGGTCCACCAATCCTTAAAATTAAACCAAGATCTACATGTACTTATTTCACTACGTTGACCCCAGGGTCCACCAAACCTTAATTAAACCTAGATTTACTTATAATTTCACTACGTTGACCCAGGGGTCCACCAATCCTTATTAATTTAAACTTAGATCTACTTATAATTTCACTACGTTGACCACGGGCTCCGCCAGTCTTACTATAAAATAAACTGAGATCTACTTATTTCACTATGTTGACCCCGGGGTCCACCGATCCTTAGTCAAACCTAGATCTACTTATTTCACTACGCTGATTCCAGGGTTCACATCCTAAAACAGCATTTTGTTAGGTAGACCCCGCGGTCCACCTATCCTTTTGGGGCTAGATAGACCCCGTGGTCCGCCTATCCACTTCCTTGATAATAACTGAAAAACATGCCAGTTGTCATGAATAGTGAAGAAAAATGTGGAAAAAAAAAGATAACGAGGTAGACGATAATTTGTCCAAAAAATTGCAAGTGCAAGTGAAAATCATAAGATAATTTTGTTATTTTCTGGTCATCTTTTCACGGTTTATAAAATGTTCCAGTGGGCTTACTACTAGATCTATGTCTCTGAAGAACATTTTGCTTGATTTTATTAGCTTTTTTCATGTACTTGAAAGCATAGAATAAAATAGTTTCACACAAATGTATGCACAATACCTTAAAAAAGAAAGATAAGGTCATTGTTGTTGTTGTTTTTTTAACGGAATCCGTTTTACGTTGAAAAAAGCGCTAAAAACAAGTTAAAATTTTTATAAGAATGCCCATAATATTAGGAATCCGAAATTACTACCTTGATCTAGTTTGCTGACTCTTTAATAACCATGAGCTGTTAAGAAAAAAAGAGAATGATATAGGATTTGTCTAAATATGACCATTAGTATTAGCATTAGTAAGATATTGCCCATTTTGTCCAATTATCCTTGCAGGTTTTAATCACCCTGTACTGCACCTCAATAAGCACAAAAAGAATATTTCTGTGACTTTGTATAAAGGTGTTTTGTAGTTGAGTTCTATGTAAAATTCTCAACAAAATAATGTACATTTGGACCGTACAACTGAGATAGACACTCATGCACACAATAACATTCACACATTACACACATACAAACACACTACTACATTTACTCTCTCTCTCTCTAGATCTCTCTCTCTCTCACCACAACCACACACAAAACAAACACATACACACCCACACACTCACACACACACACACACACACACACACACACACACACACACACACACACACACACACACAACTCTTACACTTGGTCCACTTATTTAGAATCATCCTCTATTTTGAAATAATCCCCCGCACTAAATAAAAAGATCAGTAGAATCTCGACCTTCCGAATCCATGGTTAGTTCAAGAAATCTACCATATGATGTGGCCTAAATAAGGTAAGGGAGGGGGGTTTAGCTTATTTGGGCCACAGTGTGGCCTAAATAAGGTAAGGGAGGGGGGTTTAGCTTATTTAGGCCACACTGTGGCCCAAATAAGGTCACCCAAAAATCAATGATCCAGTGAACTCCATTAGCTGAGAACATTGTTTACTGCAATATCATTCCAAAAAGTGTCAGATTCTGTGATTACAAACAACCACACATTCACACAGTCAGGCAAACATACCAAAAAACAAGCATGCACTAAGTACAAGTGTGAGGCTTCTCTTCCACTTTGATGCTGACAGACACCCACAGCAAACAATCATTCACTCCTCTACTCCAAACAAAATTTCTGTACTGGACATTTGTTTCACGCATTATTCTAAAGTTCCCATGAGATCTTGCAGTTTTCGTCTGGCCAGCTGGACCCTCTGTTCCTGGCGGTGAACATCATCAGATGACACCACCACCTGAGGAAAACAGAATATCAAAGTATATCTTTTAGAGAATTACTCCAAGGAAAAAAGGAGGAGTGAAAGGTCAGATGGGTGATGGGCAAAAATCTGTATAAAACAGGTTTGTCAATAGAACACCTGAGCAGAGAAATTATGATTGACAAACCAAGATTGATGTCTGTTCCTGATCTTCTACAAGCAGAAGAAACAAGAGGGGGAGGAGGGACGTGCAACAATATATTACAGAAATAATGAAAACAAAACAATCAAGACCCGAAATGACGACTGTTTTAACCTATTAAAATTCAGTGGCTATTTCTAGCAGCCAAAGCTTTTCAATATAAATCAATTCCGTAAACCAATAGAAATAGGTACCACAAACTGAAATTTCAAAGTCCTCTGATTTCATAGTTAACTGCACTACCTTATAGAATTTATCATTCTGAGCATTTTGGTACCAAATCTATACATATAGCTTCATCTTTAACAAAGTTATGAACATCTGAAGTTGCAGAAAAATGTTAGTTTTTTAATTGCGAAATGTCTACACTGAGACGCCACAACATTCTTAAATTTGAACGGACATTCACAAAAACTTGTAGACACACACCTATGAACATAGAAAACAAGCTCAATTTTTTTTAGGGCTATCAAATAACAAGAAGATGGAAATTTATTGACGTAAACATGGCTTTTTGACCAAACGGCAAGAAATACAAGGGGAGATTAAAATCCCCACTCGCGACCGCCGGCTTATCGGCCGCGCGCTGGGCCGCGCTGAAGGGAAGAAGAGAGAATTTATACGAAACCGGGGCGATGGTGCCCTGCTTGCGAGCCGACGGGGAGCGTCCGGTGTTTATTTGCTTATAATGGCTGTGTTATTCTTGAAGAGGAATGAATGGGCTTTCTGCCGATATATTTTCGTAGTCAGTCCGATCACTGGTTCCATAAAAAAAACAGCACCGAAAGTTTTCACACGCAAATCTCTTCTATTAATTCTCAAAAGGACATTCTTTAGAAATATATCACCGGAAAGAGCTTCTTCTCATCTTGAAATATCGACAAATCAGATTGCAGTATTTAATACCATACGCTCCCCAATCCTGTTCAACCGAGGTCACTCGAAAAATCAATACACGAAATGCGCTGCCCACGGCGTCACTTTCGCCCGATTCTGTTACTTTTAGTTCACGTGACTCAGCAGCCCGCCGGAGCTCCCCGGCACGCGGTCACGGGGTTAATGAGCCCTGAAGCGACTTTGCCCCTGTCGGTCAGGAAGTTCGCTTTTTTGACTATGTTTAAAACGATATAACTTCTTCCCCATCCCACATAGCAAACCATTACGTGGATGTACTAAAAGCTCAATGTCTTGAGATTTATTCTGCGTTAGAATGGTTAGTTTCTGTGCCTTAGTTTTTGCTCTAGACAAGTGTTTGTAGAGTACCCAATTTGTCCTATTTTAGTTACAAACTTATGAATAAATGATTGTTAATTTAAAAAAGGCACGACAGATCTCTCCAAAATCTGTGTTAAACTGACTACGAATATCATGTCTTTTACCATGAGAAATCTTAAATCTGCGCTAGTAGTAATAGTCAAGTTATAAGAGAAGAAAGATGCACATCTGCATTTTTTAACTAAAAACGATCAGCGTTAGCTCTTATTTTACTATTAAACAAGAGAAAGTTACTCTGCGTTTGTTCATGAATCATGCTGTGTCTGTGGCAGCCTGAATACAACTAAAAAGATAAAATATAAGCGATTAAAAAAACCACAAAACCGTGTAAATATATGGGTAGAGATAAACTTCTTGTATGGAATAAAAATAATGACAGCTGAAACATTCATTCTTAGTTTTTGTGTAGGAAATATGCGCGGACACAATTATGAATGTAAAGAAATAAGTCACATTGTCAGTTATTGCAAATGGTTATAGAAACGAAAAAAAAGCTGGAAAAGTCTGGTGCTGATTCAGTGTCCCTGGAAAGCTAGAAATTATTCTTATAAACCAATTACGAGAAGTCATCCTTATTATTATATTAAAATTATTCAGTCAACTTACAAAACCTAGATGTAGCGTTTTAAGGAAAGTAAGGAATTTCTGGAGTGTAACGGATACTGTTCGTGTATTAGATCTACGTTGAAGATGTATTCTAGCACTAAAATCGATTTGTACTTTTCATAGAGAAACTTCATGGTAACTTTTATAAACTTTCGAGAAAATATGCGAATATTCACGATTATATTAGACACATAAAGTTGTATTTGGAGGAATTACTTCATAGCAAATTGTGTGCCCGATGGATAAAATTGTAAAATTACAGTCTTCTATTATAAGCGCAGATACCATCTTTTCTGAGTATCTGCACCAATGTTATGTTGTTCATGTTCCAAAAGTCCGACAGATTTTGACGATGCCTTTTTTTTATATTGATTTTTTTTCATTCACGCTAGTCAAAAAAAAATTACAATTTAGCATTGCCGACTCCAGCGCATCTAACGAAATAACCAGACAAGTTACAACGTCCTTTCTTTTTTGAGTCTCAAGAGCAGAATTGCGTGCTTTGGATGCACTAAATGAGAATTACCATAAATACAAGGATACACCTTCAATTGTACGTTGAAAAGTACCAAAAATTAGGTCGGCCCAGACAGAGCGGCAACAGGGAGCTGACCCCCGTGACCCCGACGTGATAAGGCACCCGGCGGGAACCCCCAGCGGCAACTAAAATTCCACTGCCGGTGCGCCGTGTGCCGCGACAGTGAAAACCTCGATAGTGTTGTCTTTTTCCCCGCAAGATTTTGCTTTCAAAAGAATCGTTGATTCAAATAAGTAATACCACTAAAAAGAGGAAAAGCTCCTCTTCCTTCTGATATATCAAGTGTCTGTGTGTATGCATGATCACACGGTGTTTTAGGAGGGTAAAAATATGGGTTTTGGTCTCCGTGACAGTGCGCCACGGGGTCGCACGGCCAGTTTGCAGTACCTAATAGAAATCAGCTCCGTGGTCAATGAGTAAAAGCACAACCCATTAGGTTGGCGGGGGGGGGGGGGGGCCAATTTCACACAGAAATGTAAAAACACATCAACAAATTACTTACCCAATCACAACGGGGACACTGTAATAAGCCTCTAACACACTGCAACATCAAACGTTACCTGCTAAAAACTGAAGCTCAATGTGACCTCCGTTCCCTGTCTCACCTGATGTACATGAGGCTGCTGTGTGTCCATGTTGATGCCCGGGTTCTTCATGATCACCTGCTTGCTGGCACCTTGACCCACCACAGGGCCTGAACTCACATGCAGGGCAGCTGAAATGCTCTGTAAGACATTCTCCGAGGTCAGGTCAGGGCCGATACCTGCAGGATAGACACAAATAGTTTCTTCATCGCATATATGGTCTGCATGAAAGGACAAAAGAGTAATTTTGTAGCCTATACTGGCCTGCACAAAAAAGACAGTAAGAGTTCTTCTATACTTTAGGTGGTCATAGTCAGTTTCTATACCTGTAGAACTTTTAGAAGAAAATATTGTGAGGTCTAAATCTTTTATTACCCTAACAACACTATTCAAATCGTTTAGGAGCATGGCTGCCAGGAACCGCCAATCAGGGACAACCAAGGCTGAGTGGGACATAATGTTAATATCTCAGCTCAATTCAAAATTTCCTCACTCAAAAACTGTATCCGTGTCTGCAACGTGCAATGGGGAATAAGTCTTACCACTATACCACAGAAGATTACATGATGCTTTAACAATAACTTTGGACATGAGGCGAACGATGTCAGCCCCCCCCCCAGAATGGATCCCCAGCCCCAAATGGGTGATGTCAATTAACTATCCCAAAACTCGCCTCTTCAGGTAAAAAAAAAAAAGAAAATGAAATTTCAGGATAAAAAATCAAACAACTTCCATATCATGAGACAGGTAGTCTAACCATCCATCAATCAATTATGCCTTCAACTCGATGATAAAGGACATAATAAAACTAAAGCATTATGTCGCCAAGTATTATGGTATAATCTTACAGTTATAGAGTTTATTTGTCTATCTTTCACAAAAAAAAAAATACCCTTGCCACAGAAGGAGGTGGGAGCAGCCTGGTTTCGTGGATAAATTAGCAACAAAATGGCTGCCAAAGTCTGGTGACTTCCATAGCTTGAGAGTCATTGGAAACTGAAAATTTACTTTTGTGTGCTTTTAATCAACATTTTTTCAGTAAAATCCACACCAATGTGTTTTTAAATGGACATAAAAGTTGTTCTGCCAATAACAAAAACTCAATAGAAATTGCCAAAAATGAAGGTACCTTCAATGCCTAATTCTGCCATGATGTATCACGTATAAAAACTTGTGTCACATACGCCTATAAACCATGTCGCATCTCGCTTTAACTTCAATCAGTAAGAGAAAACACTGCGGTTTTTTTGCAATGCAAATTTTGACACACAACAAATAGAATTTTCCAAGATGTATAACGTCGTCCACCTCATAAAAGGGCGTATTTTTGGCATTTTTCAGGAGAGCGTTTCAAAGTTTTGGACACTTTTTAAATTCTTGCTGTGGCATAACCATTTGCTTTTTCGTTTCAATTTTTGGCAAGATATTACTACTAGTACAACCACTGATTTATCATTCCCAATAATGATTATAGATATTGCTTCATAAGTTTTAAAGGAATGGTCGAAAATAGCTGATACGCCTGTTTGTGAGAACATAATTATGTCCGTAAAGACACAAGATTGACAATACGCAACATCGTTGGTTATAGAATATAAGAGAAAAGGGATTTGTTTCTTGATTATTGAACAGGTTTATGAACTCAATATGCCAAACTTATCTATTTTGGGGAGTGAAAAACAACGAGAAAAAGAAAATGAAACTGCTTTGAGGTCTCCACGATATGAAATGTAAATAACTTAAAGAGTTAAGCTTTCTTACTTGTCTTCAAGGTATTATGCAAAATTTGCACAATACAAGGAGTGTAAAATTACTAGTATCGCACAGATTCTTTCATTTAGGGCTGCGCACCACCTTAGACAACAAAAATATTAGTAGAGAGATAAATTCTGAGCATGTGTAATGAATTTGTGTAATACTTTACAAACATTTTAGCCCATAATACTCTATTTATCAATGAAATATAGTGCAAGTGTTTGTTAAGAAAGATTAAAATGATCTGGAACGGCACTTCATGGCGAAAACACAGTGCAAGTGGTAACCTGTTATAACTTACATGGGGCAGAGTTAGAAAAACATTGAGTGTTCCTCCAGTCTGATGAAAGTGTACTTGGCTATAGGGAGATTTTTAGGTTATTCATGGTTCAGTGCAGACAATGGAACGTCTTTGACTTGATTTTTCTGCGGCTTAAAGGTCACTGTTTATTACGGTGCGTTTGTAGGAAATATATAGTTAATGAATAGTCTCTATTGAGTCTGTTCCATAATATCAGTTTAGTTTATGATTATATTGCAGCCGAAAGTATTTTCTGTAAGTTTTCTGACTTTGGCCTTGGCTTTTCCGTGGATGCGATTGTTCAGCCTTTGTTTTGTCTCCTCTTCAGTCCAGGCTTGAGTGCAAGTCCTTTTAACTAGAGTAACCTACAGTAGTGATGTGAGTCAACAGCGGGGAATCTCGCAATTTGAGCATTAATAAGGGTGGGAAGTTTTTCATCTCTTTCTTTGACAGTTGCTGGGCATCATCGTCCTTTTATTTCTACTTCAATAGTTACAGCTGATGTTGTCTTACAAATGGCGGCATTCCATCGACAATCAAGTAATATGTATTGGTTTTCTGTCCTCGAGAACAGCTTGTCCCTTTCATAGATTCAGAGCAGTCAGTGTGACTGACAACGAACTCATGTTGTAGGTGATGGTGTAAAATATTGCGAGAACATAAAAATTTCCTTGTGTTTCATTCGCAATAGTGTGACAGCTTTGACCACATTTCTCATAGCTTTCAAATTCAATACCTGTCTCAAATCCTGTGCACGCCAAAATGTATTTCAGTTATAGGGCTTCCAAAATGTCCTTTGTGGTTAGCTTCTTTATACTTTGATTGGGCTGTGGACTTTTCTGAGCAGTCACTTCCTTGACAGCACCTTCTACCATGAAATTTTCAGGTTGAGTACAATATCCAACGACAACAGAGTTGTTCTCTTCTGGCTTTATCTGTTTTTTACTCACGATGCTATGAGTTGTTTTTTTTAAAGACTACCATGAGCCTGTTTCTTCCACAAAGTGACTATGTATAACACAGGAGCAACACACACCTTCCATAAGCAGCAAATTGTCTTTCTTGCAGGACACAGAAACCAGGTTTGAAAGACTGGTCTGCATCTAAATCATCAATATAATCAGAACTTTCTGCAATACCACATCTTTGGGGACTCGTGGACCTAATTAAAACTTTTGCTAGTAGAAAATATTTTCAAAAGTGAATGTTTATAAGCTTACAAAAGAGCTAAGATTCAATCACTTTATGGGTGCATGAACATCAAACACTGAAAGCAAGGATGAAATTTAAAGCACAGGTATCAAAACAACACGTGTCTACTTGAACTAACAGTAAGGAAGCGTATAAAAGTCCCTCATTGAATATGATGCAGTGAGAAAGAATCAGCAAGACTACTGAACATGAAATGAGACATATCCCCCTCATTTACAAGTGAAAAAACAAAACGAAACATCTCATACCATGGCGTATGCGGGCATATGCCTCAGCATATATTCTCACAAAGGGGCATAAGAAGGCATGGGCCTCTATGTGAGATGCACTTTCCTGCCTGAGAGCTATAGGGCTAAATGTTTTTTGATCATAACTCCGCCATTTTTAAAGCTATCGATACGCCGTTTTGAGAGAACATAGATCTCACTACCCGACATACCATGGTGGTGTTAACTCAGAAACGGTAATTTTGACGATACGCTCTTTTGTGAGATGGGCGCCGTAAGAACGCCAAAGATATGACCATGACAATTTTGAAAAGGCTGCACAAAGAATTGAAATACAGGGAAGTATGCAGACAATGAGTTCTGGCATTAAGAATTGAGAACCTGTGTACTTTTGCATACAAACGACAAAAATGGTTCTAATCTCATGAAAGAAGGCACAGCGCATATATACACACTCTACAGCATACTCTGTGCGCTTTACAAATAATATTACCCCAGCCGGCCCTTGAATATTCAGAAAACATTCTCAGCTTTCCAGAAAGTATACAGTGCAAGCTGCAAATTACATGCACTACAACACTAACAGTCAGACAAGATTGCTGTCTATAGCCGGGTACTCATTCCCACCAAAGTGAAGGAAGGAAAATTCATGCAAAGTGCCTTTCCCAACATACAGCCCCTGACAGGATTTGAACAAATGACCTTATGGTTGCGAGTGCCACAGCATACACACAATTTACCTGAAAACATTTCATTTCAATGTCACACACAGAAAAAGTTTTGTGCGACTACAAACATACAAAACAGAACAAGGACGCATAACATGAGAGTTTAGAGTGCCAGATCATAGTGACTCTGAAATCAACTTTAAAAAAAAATAAAAATACATTTTTCATCCATATCGGAGGGCTGAACCTATAACAGCATCCAAAATGTGATGGCTGAGAGGTTAACTTAAAACAAGCAACAATCAGCATACCTTGCATTTGGCGAGGAAGATCCATTGTTGGTATCACTTCTTCACTGCTGTCACAAGCGCGCAAGCCTCTCAAGCGCTTCTCCCAAAACACCTGAGGAAAAATGAAAAAAAGAAGCACATGACAGCCAACATCATCATCATCATCCAGAGCAATTGTCTGTTTTATTCATTTGCTTAAAAAGAGAACCACATTGACACAATAACGGTCATTCAATGGCAGGAAAAAACAAAACTGACAGACAAAAACAACAGAGGGACAGAAAAGAAATAGGACCCCCCAGTGGCCCAACCATCAGCTCCAAAGCATGACAAAGAAAAATTATAAACAATTGGCATATGATTGTATGGCATTCATCCCAACCATTGCTTCCTACATGTAAGCAAAGAACTAGAGAAATACTGAACAAACAAGATACAAGTGACTTTCCAGTGAGCTCTCCAGGGAGGGAGAGGGAGAGGGAGAGGGAGAGGGAGAGGGAGAGAGAGAGAGAGAGAGAGAAAGAGAGAGAGAGAGAGAGAGAGAGAGAGAGAAAGAGAGAGAGAGAGAGAGAGAGAGAGAGAGAGAGAGAGAGAGAGAGAGAGAGAGAGAGAGAGAGAGAGAGAGAGAGAGAGAGAGAGAGAGAGAGAGAGAGAGAGAGAGAGAGAGAGAGAGAGAGAGAGAATAATGGGCATTCAGTACTTAGAAAAAGCAAGAAATAGACAGAAACAATAAAGTAAAGGGATAAGACTTCCCAGCAACATCCTCCAACCACAAAGAAAACAACCACCACAACCCTGACAAACCTGCTTGGGTTGATCTTGAGTGCCATGCTTTAAGTCAGTTTTTGATTTACATTTGGGCCCATTTCTCACAACAGTGACAGGCTGCTTGAAAATAGACGCAGTCTGCCGTATGGGGAGAACAAGACTTGCATCATGGCGGACACCTGAGAGAAATGGTATAGTGGAAATTAAGTTGAAATTATTTCCAACACTCCCCCCTCCCCACTCCCCGGATCAGAGAGGAGAAAGAGGCTGTCTTATACAGAGGGCAATCAGTTTCACACCTTATCATTATAAAGGACAAAAAAAGCAAGGGAGGAAAATGGAGAGCGGTTGTTTGTACAGGTAACTGTCTTATAAAGGTGGCCGTTAGCAGGTTCAACTGTATATAAATAGGTAATGTTCACAGTACATAAATAGGTTATGTTCCTCATCAGATTTACTTAGTATAGTATAAGGTTTTACGGCGCTCGCAACTGCTAAGGTCATATGAGCGCGCGAAACACAAGTTGTTCACCTTTGCAAAAGTTCACCTCACGACTGGTTAACTAATTTACTTTAAAATGCTAAAAAGTTAAAATATTTAAATTCAGTGTAAATACATTTGTGATTTAAAACAACTCTTTTAAGTAACAATAAAATTTTTTAATAAAATCAAATTCACTCTACAACTCGCCATAAAGGCCAATGGCCTTTATAAAATTTTAAATTCTGCTGGGAACAACGACGGAAAAAATATCCTGCAATTTCTTGCATTTATAATATTTCCTTCGGATCTCTCCAAAGTCTAGACATTCTGTTAAAATGTGTCTAATGGTAAAATCTGTGTCGCATCCGACACAAAACGGCTTCTCATCTCCCTGTAGGAGGTATTTGTGGGTCAGGGCCGTGTGTCCGATGCGCAATCGAGTAAAAATGACTTACTCTCTTCTGGAGAGGTCCGAAAGATTTCGCTGTTCTAGTTTGGGTTTTATTTCATATAGTTTATTATTTTTCTGGTTTTTCCAGTGGCTCTCCCACAGACTGGAGGTGTACTTTTTTACTTTATTTCTAAAGTCAGTCTGTGGGAGAGTGTTTGTCGTTGATCCCAGCAGAAGGGATGAAGCTTTCTTCGCCAGGTCGTCTACCTGCTCGTTTCCTCGGATGCCCACATGGCTTGGTATCCATGCGAACATGATGTTTTTTCCTGTTTCGAATAGTGTGTGGATTTTCTGTTGTTGCCTAACTATTTTTGGGTGTAAGAGTGTGTAGTTTGTGAGTGAGGTGATGCAAGACAGAGAGTCAGAAAGGATAAGGAAAGATTTGTTAGGAGAATTTTCTACAGAGTCCAGTGCCATGTCAATGGCAGTGGCCTCCGCAGAGAAAATGGGGGCTTCAGGATGGAGTCTCCTCAGGTGTGTACTGTTGGAAGATAGGGCTGCGGCGCCCAATTCATTGTCTTTTTTGGAGCCATCTGTGAAGATGAGCTCTGCATCAGATTTACTTGAATAGAATTATCCAGCTTCTTAAGGTTCATATGTGTCATGACGCGGCAGAAATCAGGCATTCATCAATTTTGGGGGCATACAGAGTTATTTAGTATCATCATAAAGTTTGTTCATTTGCCTTGCTTTCCATGGACAAAAATACTCGTGTTTTGAATAAAAGTTGAGATATTTGCGATTGAAGGAGATGGGGGTCGCCTGTTTCAGAGATAAAATTAGTGAGAAAATTGCCACCAAAGCTTGAGAGTCCTTAGAAAGTGAACATTTACACTATTTTAGTGCCTTACATTAATCAACCTTTTTCAGTAAGTAAAATCAACACAGCAACATTATGTTTCTAAATAAAAGATGTTGAGCCAAAAACCAAATTTTAAAAATAAAAATCCGACAAATTAGTGGAAAAATGCCGGTTTCTTTCATTTCATTATTTTGTCTAGCGCCTGATTTTACTACAATGCCTTAAATATTAGATTTTTAAATTTTTTTTCCCTTGAGTAAAGAAAAAAAACTTAGACACAATGATGGTCATTTAAACATTTTTTTCCCCCTTGAGTAAAGAAAAAAATATAAAAGAGCAAGGCTGAGAGACAGAAACAGGAAGCAAAAAGAAGTAGGATTAGCCAGTGACGCTCTTCAACGACCCACAAGAGCATTGCATGTTTGTGTGAGCATTGCACACCACACCCTGTTGGTGGTTCAGCTAGATTTTTTATTAAAATTTCAAGGTTCTTTGGTCTGCTTTTGATTCAATGAAATTACAAGAAAACCACATGATTGGCTTCACAAGTATTCATAGTTCAAGTCCATCTCTGGCATCTCCATTTGCAACAAGATGAGGTCTTACTCAGAGAAAAGAACTTCTACCAAAGCTTTTTTTTTATTGCCCTGAAAAAAAAAAGTAAAAACAACAGGATGGGAAAAAAGTTGGATTTTTATGAGACATCTTCCAACCTCCTGAGTCATAAGTGGTAGAAGCAGAACCGGAAAGTAAAAATACAAATAAATCACATCAAATATACCTTCAAGTTTCATCATACTGACAGGGGGGGGGAGGGAATCTACTGTGCAAATGTTCAATAAAACCATATTCTCACCTCGAGCAAAGTCATAGGAAGAGCCTTTCTGCCTTTTACTTTTACGACAGGCACTGTATACTGTGCGGCCAGTCCGAAAGTCAAAAGCACTCAGGTCAAACGTCTCACCGAGAATACGGGCTAGCTGTGGCTTGCTGCGTATCTTCTTTCCCTCAGGTCTGAAAGCAAATGAGTAAAATGAAATATGGGATCATTTACGCTACAGTAGTTTCTTTTTCTCCTGCTATTTCCAATGAAATCTTCCACTTTAATATTGGCTTCTATTTAGCAGTGTTATATTTCGGGTACACAACAGGAATAAAATGATTTTGGCAAAAGGATCATGGTAGAAAGACCTGGCTATATCTAGTGATTTATTGCAGAATAGGCACAACAAGACACCCTTTATAAGAAAAGACACAACCATACGAGATTATGAAGTGTGAGAACATGTCAAAACTAAAATGAAATGATTTTGGAAAGTCAGCGATTCTATTAATACAGCAGCTAAACTAAAACAGTACAGCCCCACAGATGGCAGCCTCAGACACTACAGCCAAAAAAACCCATCAAAATCCTTCTAAGAATTGAATGCTCTCAGATTTTAAAAATACACCAAAAAAAATAATAATTGGTAGCCAAGAATGTATCCATTTAAGGATTACCATTTTTTTCTGGCTGATCAGCAAAATGCCAGAGAGTAGACTGGGGCAAAAAAAATTGACCAGTAAAAAACAGCCAGAATTCCAGCTATACTAAGCACTGATTGTACTTTGCAGCAAAATTGAATTTTCAAAAAACCACTACTAGTAATTTTAAGCAGCAACAGTACATAATTCAGATCTTCAATATCATTTTTATCTCTGACCAAGTAGTACATAACAGACCTATGTAGAGAACATTAGGCACAAAAATGCTAGTCTGCAGTAACGGTAGACAAACAGAGAGAAAGAAGTAGGACCAGCTGGTGACTCCCTTCAACTTCAATGACCCGCAGGAGCATTGCATGTTTGTGTGAGAGTTGCACCTAGCCGTTTTGGAGACAGCTTGATATAATTCAATCATTTAAGCGAAAACCAGAAAAAATTTTACTACATTGATGTAACCTAGAGAACCACAAAATGATCAATTGTACCTGGCTTGGAATGCATATGTGACTCATTTTTTTCTGCATTGATTGTGCTACACAAAATTGTATCAAATTAAAGAATCCCATGAAACCACAAAAGTACACCCCTCAGATCAAACACCATCGGAGCAACAACAGAAGATCATTTCATGAAAAAATGCACAAGGATCTATAAATCTTTCTATTATAGAAATGATAACCCTGTTACATGATTGTTTACTTACGTAATGTAGTAAACATCTGTCTTCCCAGCAGAAAGCCCTGACTGCCGAACTACCTCTTCTCTCTTCCAGCCTGGGGGCAAGGCCATGATTTCAGTCTTTTGCCCAAAGATGTCTAAAATGTCTGAAAAGCAATAAAATCAAGAATCCAAGCAGTTAGAAGTTAGAACTAACCATTTTTTAAAAAGAAACACGGTTAGCAAAACACCGGAAAATAAAAGGGTAGAGGGCACCTGCATCTCACTATGTATATATATAATATACACAAGATAACTAATATAATTATAATACAATACAAATACAACAGGTGGAATGGTATAGGAGGGGGGGCACATGTCGACCGCAATATATCACCGCATATCACTAAATATCACTGCATGTCACTAAAGAAGGGGCTATCCTCACCCGGGGTGAGAATAATACGACCGACCTCTCACCCCGGGTGAGACTTGCCAGCGTCTGCTATTCTCACCCTGGGTGAAACAAGACCTGTTTTTCCTAATTTTGGAATACTGTCTATCGGTGTTGATGATCAAACTGACAAAAGTCAAGAAAAAATGACGTTATAGCTCGAAAGTAAGCTAATTTGATTGTCTAGAAAGATGCTATGGCTATTTCACTTTTCGAATTGAGCAGAAGTACGCGGGTCGCCATTTTGTTTTGCCCGGAAGTTCTCGCAAGATCTAGATCTACTCCTCCTTTCTCTCTGCCTCTTTCTGAATACTGCTTATCGGTGTGGGCCATCAAATTGACAAAAACAAAGATAAAAAATGATGTTAAAACAAAAAAGTAAATTAAATTTGTTCGTCTACACACAAAGATGCTACGGCTATTTAACTTTCAAATCGAGCCGAACTACGCGGGTCGCCATTTTGTTTTGCCCGGAAGTTCTCGCGTTACTCCTCTCTCCCCCCCTCTCTCTCTCACTGCCCACAGACAAAATTGCACGCTTTCAACACAAGAACGCTGGAACGTTTGTTCAAGGCACAGAATTCTACACTTCTGCTATCACAGTGTAGAATTGTTCTGTGCTTCACGGTGAACGCTACACTGGTTGGCCTCCTAGGCTAACAGTTTGTTTTTGTAAAATATTTTACGGCGCTCACAACTGGTTAAGGTCATATGAGCGCGCGGGACACACCTAATATTTTCAGTAGGTAGGAAATTTTGAATTTTGCCCGGGTGGCGGCCGAAGCCTACTCTTATCGATTTTAGACCACCAAGGAATCTTTAACGTGCGCAATTTGCACACGGGCCCTCCAAGATTTTTCGCCCTTGTCCGAGAAGGATAGGTGTAGATCTTTCCTACCAGAAGATCAGGGGTGTGGCAGAAAGACAGCAGTAAGGAGGAGCCAAGGAGTAGCAGTAGAAAGTCTGCAGAAAGAGTCAGGAGCCCAGAGGAGGGGGCAAAGGAGGTGAGGGGGTGGGGGCAGAAAGTGGAAATGAAAGCAGACAACAGAACATTGTTAGAGAGCAGGAAAGGAGGTGAAAGGAGACAATTTTAGAGGAGAAAATTTTTTGGTCGCTACCCGGAATCAAACCCGGGACCTTTGAATGAGAGGCCAACACCTTAACCTCTAGGCCACGAGAGCCCCCGCTAACACAGTGAACGCACACCGGGTGATATTAGCCAAAAAGCTCGCCTGCGCTTTTCTCACCGGAACGGGTGAGAATAGAGGTGGCCTGCCTGTCACTAAATATCACCACATATCACTGCATGTGACAGGTCATTAAATATCACCGCATATCGCATTATATCACTAAATATAGGCTAACTGCACATCACTAAATATTGCCGCACGTCACTAAAAATATCACAGCACATCACTAAATTACTAAATCACTAAATGTGCAGTTGCGGTGATGTTTTGTGATGTGCAGTTATATTTAGTGATGTGTGGTAATTATTATTATACCAAGTGAAACAAAGTGAAAGCCACTTTTCTAGATTTACTGTAAACTCTCGTCCTGCAGGGGCCGCCGGGTTTATGTCGCCCGATAGGCGTATTTCAGCACCTCGCCTGCGTTCTCGTCCTGTGTCAGTCTGGCCCCTGGCTCAGTGCACGCGCGCCGAGCATGATCTCCCGTTCAATTCGGGTCCGCATTCAGGCAGCTAAAGTATGTGTGCGTCAGTCTGCTTGAGTTTGTGTGCGTTTGTGGCCTTCTTCTAGAACCGTCTGCGTGTCCATCAAAATAAGATCAAATCCAGACCAGGCTAGGCTAATGTATGAGGTTTTTGCATGGTGTAGAACCGACTCAAAAAGATCCGCGTCCACCAAAGAGGATAATTTAGGTCAATTTCCGAATGTTTTACGCTCAAATTGTTCTTTGTACCTGCACAATGGTATTCAAAACTATCAAACAAGCTAATTTTTTATCAGATAGTATCATTTCATACAAAATCAAGCTCATTTGATATATATTTTGTATAGAAAAATGGAAGTCTTGTTTCCTGACTATC